TGTAATTCAAGTGCAGGGACAAGCTTTATTTAGCTTTCTAGATATGCATTCAACATTAAACCTAGCACAAGTAACTAAAAACAAGTGATGTTAATTTAAAATTAAGTATACTTAATAGACAGCTCTCAAAAGTTTTTAGAGATCTGCTGGACATGGCATTGAAGATGTTTACTGTTACCGGGCAGTGGTGGTGCACACCTTTAATCCCAGCACTCAGAAGGCAGAGGCAGATGGATCTCTGTGAGTTTGAGGCCAGCCTGCCTGGTCTACAAGAGCTAGTTCTAGGACAGGCTCCAAAGATAGAAAGAAACCCTGTCTCAAAAAGAAGAAGAAGAAGAAGAAGAAGAAGAAGAAGAAGAAGAAGAAGAAGAAGAAGAAGAAGAAGAAGAAGAAGAAAAGAAAAAGAAAAAGAAAAACCTGTTTACTGTCAAAAACTTACTATGCCAGAGATCCCAACTTCAGGCAGCAACCTTGAGGTATCCAAAGAAAATCATGGGCACAACGACTCCTCCTGGATTGTGGTAAGGCTAACCCCTGGGGGAAACTGCTCCCTGCTTGGACTGTCCTTGATGTTCTGACAGGACAGGCCCCACTAAGAGCGCCTCCTGCTTATGTTCACTATGATCCCTTATGAAGGGTGGGCCTTGCCCACCTCCTGTCTCTTTCTCTCTGTCTCTCTTTCTCCACCTCTCTCTCTCTCTCTTCTGCCACTCTTGGCCCCAGGGACCAGTTCTCTGCCCCTTTCTCTGCCCCTTTTCTCTCCTCTTCCAACAGACCTCCTATGTGAGCCTTGTTACATGGCGTAGCTTCTCTTGGCAGCGTGGTTTTTTGTTTGTTTGTTTTTAAATCATAATGCTACTCACACTGTGAACACTGTTGGGTTGACTGCTCAACTCTGTCTGGTCAACATAAGGTCAGTCCTCCAGCTTCCTCCTCTACAGGAAGACCCCTCAGACGGTTGTGCCTGCTTCATGAGCCCCCACCCCAGAGACCACATCCAATGCTGACCTCTCCAACCCTGCCTTAGGGGGCGGCAGCCTGCATACACAAATAAAAAAGGCTTGTTTTAATTAATTACATGCTTTAGTTAGCTTGGCCATGATGATTTGGGTCAGTGGTCTTTCTCCTCCCGTCTTTCGGGTTAACACACTCTCTCTTCAGCTCTCACTACCCCTACCTCCCACCCCACGGTCAAGTACAGTACGCTGGCTATGTTTAGTCTACTGCTTTCTCTGCTCTGGACTCTTCCAGATACATCTGGATGTTTTCATCTTCATATCTACAATAAAAGAACCTGCTTGCTGGGCAATGGTGTGCACACCTTTAATCCCAGAACTCGGAAGGCAGAGGCAGGTGGATCTCTGTGAGTTCAAAGCCAGCCTGGTCGACAAGAGCTAGTTCCGGGACGGCTAGGACTGTTACACAGGGAAACTCTGTCTCAAGAAACCAAAAAAGAAAGAAAGAAAACCTTCTGCTTAACCATAACTTGGAGCAGTTAGGTCATCAGTCTCAGTGCTGGAGATGGAGCCCAGGACCCTGTACAAGCACTGTGCCCCTAAACCGTATTTGGTGGTGGTGGGGGGCACAACAGCTGCAATCAAACCAGCGTGTTGCAATGTTGAGACGCTGCGTGTTTGTGAACAGGCAAGCCCAGGCCACCATATGGTGGTGCTGAGACATGGCATGAATGCAAACAGGCATGTCCAAGCCACCAGCCGGTGGCATGGGGACATGAAAGGCATATGAACAGGCATTCTCTCACAGCCATATGACAGTGCTGGGACGATGTCTGAGTGTAAACGGTGTGCCCAGGCCACCACTGGTCTCATTGGGTTACAGCAGGCATGAGAAAGTGCAAGCCTAGGTCGCCAACTGGCACAAATGAGATGCTGCTGACATCCGAGCCCAGGAGAGTCCAGAACTCTAGAGCTCAGCCTGTTCATCTTGAACAAGTAAGAAAGAAGGACCTACAAAGAGGGTGGTCTCACCTGGGTCCTGCATGGCTCCTGTTCCCCCTCTTCAGTACTCATTTTTCCAACTGCACAGAATGCTGGTGGCTGATAAAACAGGGCTGGATCTCTCGCCAGGAATGTCGCTTGTGTGAAGGCAGCCCAAGAAATCGGGACAGGAAGCATGCACCTGATCAAGCAGTTCCACTCCACTGAGCCCCACGCCTGACACCTGCTGAGCTTCATCACACCCAGCACACAAACTTGAGACCTGTGAGAATCAGTTGGACGAGGCTGGGGAGATGATCATGCACCCCGGCGTACCATATAGTAATTGGTATGAATGTACATGTGTCAGTTTGCCCACAGTCTACCCTCAAGGAGATGGCCAAGGGCAGGAAGCTGAGCTTTGACTAGAAAAAGTAGCCTTGTGCCTTCAGCATTCCCAAGCCTTTGCATCTAAAGAGACTGCCAGTAACACTAAGACACAGTACAATCATGGTAAAGACAGTCAGGACTTAGATTTGTGTTCCTACTGCCTTGTGATTTATTGTATTCCTACAACCTTGTGATTTATTGACCTACAATTTCATGCATGTGTATCAGACATTTTGATCTTCTTCACCCATTTACCCCTCTCATTCCCCATCAAGTCCCCCGCCTCCTTTTATGTCTTCTTAAAAAACTTTCTGCTCGTGTTTGCAGATACGACAGCACTAGCAAACTCACTTTGTAGACGTTGAGGGTCTCAGACTCAGAGATCTGCCTGTCTCTGCCTCCCAAGCGCTGAGATTAAAGGTGCGCTCCACCACTGCCTGTCAAAATTAGAATTTATTTTCTAAATTTTTATTACACTTTTATTTAGCGTGCGTATGTATGTGTGTCATGGCAGGACAGTAGAGGCCAGAGGACAACTTTCAGGAGTCTGTTCTCTCCTTCCACTGTGAGGATCTCAGGGATTGAACTCAGGTCATCAGGCTTGGTGGCAAGAGTCTTTACCCGCTGAATCATCTCGCTGGCCTTAAAAACCTTTTTTTTTTTTAAAAAAAATATTTTATTTATTTATTCTTTATTTTTTTGAGACAGAACCTTTCCATCAGACCTAGGCTGTGCTGAAACTTTTGCTGCTGGAACAGACTGGCCTAAATCTCACAGAGTTCTGCCTGCCCCTGCCAGCCAAGTGCTAGGATTAAAGGTGTGTACCACCATGCCCAATTTAAAGATTTTTTTTAACGGATGTATATTAATGCGTGCTTGTGCATATGTGTGTGTGTCCTCAGAGGTTGGGAAATGATCAGATTCTCTGAAGCTAGAGCTATAGACAGTTGTGAACGTTAGGTCTCAAAGCAGGACAAGCCTCACCCTGTATTTCTCATCCTGTTCCCTACCCTAAACTTTCCTTCCCAGGGACTGGGCTTCCCTCCCTCAGCCTGATCCCTATATAATGCAGCTATTTTGGCTACCCAGTCTTTGGGTCTGGGCCACCTTCTGTAGGACTTTTCTTTTGGGCCACCAACCAACTCCCAAATCATGACATGGAGTCTTATCACTAGTTTTGAATACTTAGTCTTAGTTTAAGCTTGTTCCTGGCTAGCTCTTATAACTTAAATTAACCTGTTTTGCATCAGGACCTTTCTTTCATTCTGTATGTCCTACTTTCTCTGTGTCTGGCTCTTTCTTCCTCATTCTCTTCTCTCTTCAATTCCCTGAGCCTAGATCCTTCTTCTACTTATTTTCTCTGCCAGCCAGCCCCGCCTATCCCTCTACTGCCTAACTATTGGCTCTCCAGCTTTTTGTTATACCAATCAGGTGATTTAGGCAGGCAAAGTAAAACAGCAACACATCTTTACATAATTAAACAAATGTAACACATCTTTGCCTAGTTAAAGCAACAATCTTTCTGGGTCATGGGTCCTTTTTTGCTCTCTCTACCTTTCTCTCATGGTCGACTTTAGTCTGCCAGCCATGTTCAGCCTGGACTCTTCCCTCTGCCTGCTTTCTCTCTTCTGTCTACAATAAAGATCTCCCTACTTCAGGAAAACTCCTATCTTCCTTTTATTCATTTTTTTTTTAGTGAGCGGCTAGAACTTGGGTCCTTTGGAAAAGCGGAAATTACTTTTAGCCACTGAGCCCCACAATGTCTTTTTGTTGAGCAGCTTACCAGTGGCCACAGCATTGAAGATGGCCTCCCCTCCCCAGCAGTCATTAACTGCCTACCGCTCCAAATAGCAATTTCTGTAAGTCAGAAAATGTGCTTGAAGGAGGGATACCGATTAGGGAAGGCTGTGAAGGTTTGCATTAAGTGCCAACAGTTTGAGACAGGGTCTCAATTCGACACAGACTGGCCTCAAACTCAAGGCCATTCCCTGGCCAAAGCCTTAGAGCATAGGGATTACAAGTATGAGCCACCATTAAAGATTTTAAATACCAAACATTTATTGAAAGAATGGCTGTACAGCTTTGAAACGGGAACAGTACAGGGATGTGACCGGTTAGAGCTGTGCTCCCAACTACTCAGTTTTGCCTACTTTGAACTGTAATATTTCATAAAAAGCGTTAAGACCCTTCTCCCCGCCAGAGCACTTCGCTGTCCCTCACACCGACCCTACTGCCGCCACACACCCCTACAGCCTCAACTCAGTGAACTGTGCAACACCAAACCTAACCAGGGCGTTTTGTTTTGTTTGAGACAAGATCTCACTCTGTAGCCAAAGCTACCCTGGAACTGTGCAGTTTAGGCGAGGCTGGAACTCCTGGCAATCCGGCTGCCTCGGCCCCCACATGCTGGGATTGAAGACATGCGCCATCATGCCTAGCTTCAGCTGGCCCTCATTCACGCTCGAGCCTCGGCTGTTCTTTAGACTGAGTGCACTCCTAAACTGAAGTAAACAGGACAAAGTCTCCTCCTAGACCCTCAGACCCACGGAGCCCCAGGATTAAGCCGAGCAGAGCTCTTGCGCAGCCGCGGATCGCTCGGAGAGGAAGAGGCGTGGTCCTGAGCGGAAGAGCAAGGCCCCAGAACGGAAGTAGTGGGAACCCGGAGGCAGCCGGAACGGGGACCAGTGAGAACGCGGGACTAGCCGGAGCCCGGAAGTGCGGACTAACTCTGCGGTCGTTCCGGAAGCTCAGGTCTCGGCATGGCTTTGGGAGGAAAGGCACCCAAGAGAAAGAAGGGCCAGGAGCGGAGGTGAGCGGCGCGCGGCGTTGGCGTGGGTGCGGGGTGGCTAGTGGCTCGCGGCCTGGAAGAGACTGTGCCTGTGTTTGCAGACAGAGCCCTGAAGATGGCGTGGGGAACGCGGCCGCCGACTACCAGGTGGGACAGGTCGCCGACAGCCTGCGGGGCGGCCAGAGACTTACCGAAGGCGCGACGGGGCGGCTGGCAGCTCTCTTCAGCACCGCGGAGTCACGGGCTCCACCCGTGTTTGTGCCTGTGCCCCAGGTGAGTCGCCGGCCTACGGCTTGAGTGTCCCCTTAGAGCTAGGTGTAGAGGGTAACTCGCCTGACAGCATCAGCTGTCCGCCCCTGGAGCTAGGCAAGCGTTTCACCCTGAGCCCTGTTCATTGATTGCCAGGGTCTCTTGTAGCTATTTAGGCCTCAGATTCTGTAATGTCCCCAAGGACGATCGTCCTCTAGCTTCTTGAGTGCTTAGATTACAGGACTGCTCCAGCATATCTGACTTGACTTTTTTTATTTTGAGAAAGGGTCTCACTAGTTGCCCAGATTGACTTTTAGCACAAACTGTAGCCCAGATGCCATACTGCATCAACTTTCCACTGAATAGCGGTATCACAGGCATGTGTGATCAAGCCCATCAGATCTGATTTCACGACTAATGAAGGTCAAGAATTCTCTGCTTCTCTATAACCAGTGAGGAAGAAGTAGTATCGATTTAGAGAGACAGCATAGTGTTGCTCAGGGACTTGGAGACAGGGACTTTACTATGTAGCCCTGGTTGGCCTGGCATAGCTCCTACCCCCTCCACATCCTGAACGCTGGAATTACAAGCATAGGCCACAACACAGTCATAGGTTCAGAATTCTTAAGAGCTTGACGTATTAAGTCTGACTTGAAACTCTTGAAAGGAAACACCTAAGAAAAGAAAACCCGATGATGAAGAAGAAAGTACGCCCCAGATTAAAAGGCCAGCTGTGCAAACCCCTGCCAAAAGGATGAAAGTGAAGAAACTCACTGATGCAGAGGAGAGGCTGGCAAACAGGTTGGTGAAGTTCTCCTTACCGGGTTAAATACGTCAGGTGGTTTTTAAAAATTAATGTTCATCTTAATTCTTCTCATTGCATAGTTCTCAAATTTAAAAAAAATACATTATATAAAGTCTCATAGTATAGATAGCTAAAAAATACAAAGACCCGGTTTATCCAAAGTGAACAGTTACTGGTAGATCAGCTTTTCAGGTCTTTCCTTTCCATCTCTGCCTCTTGTTATTTCTGGCCATCCTTGGTAGGTCTTTAGCCCAATCACTGTAACCCTGTGGTTTATGTCTTCAGTGTTTCTGGATGGCTATCAAACATGAATTTGGTTTTTCTTGTGAAAACCAAATTTCCATCATTAGCTTAAACTTTTTTTATAGAATATTTGACTTAGTATCCAGATAGTTACACCGGTACTACTTTGCCAGTTATTGTTTCTCGCTGTTTTTGGGAGGTGAGGTAGGACAGGGGTTTCCTTCCTTTCTTCCTTTCTTTTTCTTTTAAGATTTATTTATTTATTGTTTACAGTGTTCTGTCTGCATGTATGCCTGCAGGCCAGAAGAGGGTACCAGATCTCATTTCTGATGGTTGTGAGCCACCATGTGGTTGCAGGACTGGCTTTGTCAGCTGCTGTTGTTTTTGGTTTGTTGTTTTGTTTTTGACTCTTTTCTTTGATTGTTCCTTAAAAACTAGGGAGAGTGCTCTAGCAAGTGCTGACCTAGAAGAAGAGCTTCATCAGGAGCAGGGGCAGGAAAGGAGAAAGTCTCAGTCTCGTGGTAAAGCAACAAGTAGAGAAACACTTGGTGTAGCTGTCAGCCATGATGGAGACCAAAGAAGAAAAATCCCACTCAACCCTGAAGAAGAGCGGTTGAAAAACGAGAGGACCGTGTTTGTCGGCAATTTGCCTGTCAAATGTAATAAGAAGGTGAGCGCGAGGGGCAGTTTAAACCTAGGGAGGTTATCGACTGAGGTCACTTTTATTGAGCTAATCGTTGATAACTCGTTGCAATAGCTTCACTGGGCTTCCTGCTCACCACACCACAGGTGGTTCTGGTGCCGACACTTCCTTGATCCTGGAGTCACAGGCACAATCCCGGCCGAGTGTTTGTGTATGTGTGTGATGTGTGTGTGGTCTGGGGCTTGGCTTCCAGCCCTAATTCAGGCTTCTGAAGGTCATGTTTGAAACGGCAGTAGATTTTTCTGGCTTTTTTTCTCTTCAGCTTCTTTCCTGTGAATGCCTCTAGCATGTAAACTGGATCGCTCTCTTCACTGCTCTGTGTGGAGCACAGGAGAGGATGCCTGACACATGCACAGGCTCAGTGATGTCTGCCGTGTGGAAGAGTGAGCACTCAGGTGCCTTTCGTGCTGCAGGCTTCACTTTGCCTTCTATGAACATGTGGTTGGTCCTTACTGCCTGAGCAATCCTCGGGCCCAAATCCTGCTCACCTTTGGAAGGATGGGTTTATATTCTCCTTCCTTAAAAACAGCCTAGAAAATACTGACTTTTATTCTGTCCCCTAGCGTTTGATTTGTAAAGATATCATGTACTATCTTTCTTTTTTAAATATTTATTTATTATGTATACAATATTCTGTCTGTGTGTCTGCCTGCAGGCCAGAAGAGGGCACCAGACCTCATTACAGATGGTTGTGAGCCATCATGTGGTTGCTGGGAATTGAACTCAGGACCTTTGGAAGAGCAGGCAATGCCCTTAACCACTGAGCCATCTCTCCAGCCCCCATGTACTATCTTTTCAAAAAAAATCTTTTTAGATTTATTTCATGTGTATGAATATTTTGCCTACATGTATGTATGTGTACTAGATATGTGCCCAGTACCTGTGGTGGTCAGAAGAAGTAAATAATCAGATTCCCTGGAAGGTGGAGTGACATGATTGTGAGCTGCCATTTGGGTGCTGGGAACCAAATCCAGGTCCTCTGCAAGAGTAACAAGGGCTCTTCACCACTGAGCCATCTCCCCAGTCCTTCTCTCTGTTTTTTGTCAGTTTGGTACACATCTCCATGAGTCACCCTGTTGTAACATGAGGGGCTGTTTGTTGGGGATTTTCTGTCCCGTCTGGCCCCCCAGCTATTTAGTCCCAGAGAAAAATCACACACAGATCTCTTTAAGTTATAAAGCTGATTGGCCCATTAGGTCAGACTACTTATTAGCTAACTCTCACATTTTGATTAACCCATTTTTCTGATCTATGTTAGCCATGTGGCTGAGTACCTTTTTCAGTGGGGCAGCTCACATCCTGCTGCTTTGGTGATCTGGGCAGGAGTGGGAGAAATCAGCTTCCTCTTCCTCAGAATTCTCCTGCTCTCCTTGCATCATTTCCACTTCCTGTCTGGTTTCCCGCCTACACCTCCTACCCGGCCAATCAGCATTTATTTAAAACATGATTGACAGAATACAGACAATTCTCCCGCACCACCCTGTGTATCCTGGGCCAGCCTTGAGATCTCAGTCATTCTGCCTTAGCCTCCTGTATACATTTTGCTATTGGTTATAATCTTTCTTTATGGCATAAGAATCAAAGGAAACGCATGTGATATTATGGTGCTCTGCAAAAAATATTCCTACAGTAAATGGCTTTAAATTAGAATTGGTTGTAGAAATTACTCATCAAAAATACATGTTCTTCACATCTTGAGATAGTCAAAGACTAATGCCCCAAAATGACTGAGTAGGATTCTCTTTAAGTAATGTTCTGAAGTAAACAGTTGGCGGATTTCCCTGCGGGTCGGCATCATTAAAAGGCACTTTGGATTAAGCCAGTGTAAAAGGATCAGAGAACATGTTTAAGACACAAGTGTGACCTCAGTTTAAGTGTCTCACAGACTGTGAGCATTGGAGCCCACAGCTAGCACCGGCCATGAGTAGACGCTGATGTGGCCTCAGTTGTGATTTTCTTCTCTCCAAGTCTCTGTAAACTCTTCTTGTCCATCCCGCTGAAGTCACCCGCTTTTCTGACGCGCTCTTTGGTTTTAGATGCCGGGTGTGAGCACTCACCTTGCTTCCACTTTGTGTTTCTAGTGCTGGGATAAGAGACAAATAATACTATAGTTGGTTCTGGAATGTTCTTACAGTATAGCAGTGACACAGATGTTCAAGGTATTAACTAACATGTATGTGTTTATTGTTTATTTTAGAAGCTGAAGTCATTCTTTAAAGAGTATGGACAGATAGAATCTGTGCGATTTCGTTCTGTGGTAAGTGTCCTCTCCCCCTGAAAAATGCATGTCACTGCGCTCTGTAAATCAAAACTGATGGCCTCTTGGTGCCCAGTATCTGCTGCGTTCAGATGATTGTCTCTGCTGTCAGTAAAGTAGGCAGAAAGGTTGCTTCTCACCAGGCATCTCCTTCAAACTGCAGCTAGCCTGACTTGTGTTGTGTAAACAGATTTTTGTCGGGACCACCAGCTCCCCAATAGCCACACTGAGGCTTATTATTAATTATAAATGCTTAGCCAGTAGTTTAGGCTTGTTACTAATTAGCCCTGTCAACTTAAATTAATCCACATTTCTGATTTATGCTCTGCCACGTGGTGGTACCATTTTTCAGCCTGGCATATTCATCTTGCTTCTCTATGTATCTTCTGGCAACTCCCTTGACTCCATCCTGCTTCCCAGAGTCCTCTCAATTTGGCTGTCCTGCCTGACATTTTTCTGCCTAGCCATCGGCCAGTCAGTTCTTGTTAATCCAATCAGAAGGCGCTTTGGCAAAGACATATCTTCACAGACTACAGAAAGATTATTCCGTAACAGCTGCAGGAGCTGAGCGTGACTGTTGCAGGCAATGCTTAGGCACTTGTACTTGTAGATGGCATTGGTATCTACTTTTATTCTCATCAGTTATACTAGCATTCTCAGGATGAAATACACAGTATAGTTTCTGTTTCTGTGTGTTTTCTTTCTACTGTCCTGGAACTCACTAAATAGACCAGGCTGGTCTAGAATTCACAGAAATCCATCTGCTTTGCCTCCTGGGTGCTGGGATTAAAGCTGTACGCCATCGCAGCCAGTAGTACGTATTTTAATATTTTCAGTGTTGCTAGCATGTACTGGTTTACCTTGTTTCTAATTATTTTTTCTTACACGGTTCAGGGCTTCTCAGGACTGAAAGGGTAGATCAGCAGTGGAAGGCTTGCCTAGCATTTGTAGTTTCTCAGTCTCTACACTGTTAGGGTGTGAGCTGGGTGGTTTTGTTGCTGCTGCATTGTGCTGCCTGGGATTACCCACTAAATGCCTGCAGTCTTGTCCCATACAACAAAGGCAACCCTGAAGGATGCCAAGTGTTCTGTGGAAAAAAACTGGCTTCTTTAACAGTATACGTTTTCACTGGGCAACGGTGCATGCCCTTAATCCCAGCATTTGGGAGGCAGAGGTGGGTGGATCTCTGTGAGTTTGAGGCCAACCTGATCTATAGAGTGAGTTCCAGGACAATCAGAGATACACAGAGAAACCCTGTCTCGGAAAAAAAAAAGAAAGAAAAAGAAGAAAAAAAAGACATTCTCTAAGATTTTGACAGTCCTCATCATTTCTGTTGATATGTTTTTCCACTATTACCACCTATTTTATCTGCTCTTCTGAGCTTTATTTCCCAATATAAAGCTCTTATCTGACTCACTACCTGGAATGTCTTGGCTCGCACCATGATTACAGGATGTCTGTTTTTACCCCCTGCAAGATGTGGCATTGCCTTTAACACTTTTGGACCACCTGGCCTGTTACTTACTCTGCTTGCTTTTCACATGGGTATAGACAGAGTTTTCCAATCCCAGCAGCTGCTTCCAAATTACCACACAGAGACTTAATATGTATGAATACTCGGACAATAGCTCAGGCTTATTAGTAGGTAACACCTACATTTAAATTAACCCATTTTTATTCTATGTATTGCCACATGGCTTGTGGCTTTACTATAGCATCTCTTACTCCCTTGGCAGCTGCCTGGAGTCTCTCTCTGACTCCATTCTTCTTTCTCTGTGTATTCTCAGTTTGATCACCCCACTTATACATTTTGTCTGGCATTGGCCGATCAGTTTTTATAAGACAATGAGAGTAATACATATTTATAGTATAGAAAAGGATTGTTCCACTGCATTTCCCCATTTTTGTCTAATTAAGGGAACTTTTAACTTTAACATAGTAAAACTATATAATAAAAAGTTATTAAATCAAAATTATAGTAACATCTAATTTATTTGTATTTATCAAATTAGAGAAAATACTCTTATCTATTTTATCTTGGTGAGTCTTAAGTTTTATATCTAATTCATCTTTTATTATAACTAAGAAAAACTGTAATTATGACAATCTAATTTTCACCTCTGTCAAAGACCCCAGAAGAGTGAAATGTTACCTAACAACAGAGACATCTTGCTGCCTGGAAGTCGCCCAGAGTTTCTCTGCAATATTGGGGCATCCAACTTTTTCCTGCAGGCCTAGCATATCTGACAGACTTTCCTGTGAAGCAGGGAACTTTGAAGGACTCTCCAACCGTGTCTTGGCAAAGTTTGGCAGTCGCCTTTTTGGTTTCCTGCTGGTTCTGTTTCAACAGCAACTGTTAGCAATTGAGACAAGGACAGTTCTTTGCTCATGTGGCTAGCTTTTGCCGTAAACAAAACAACCTTCATACAGAGTTTCTTCAGTGCCCACCATCTTTCTTTGAAGAAGTAAATGGGTGCTTTCACGAGCAGACATGATTCATTGTCATGAAAGCCTTATGTTATTAGAACATTTTAAATGCCATATTCTGTAGGTCTTTGAGGTGTTTAAAGTCCACCTGTCTATGTAAGATGTATGTTTGACCTTGAGAACATACAACTGACTGCAGTTGATGGTGGTAAGTGACTAACTACTAACTGGTATTTCTTAAATTATAGATGACATTTTTAAATGAGCTAGATAAACACAATATTCCAAACAGGAGTAGAAACATAGTACAAATAACTAAATAAACTAAACTAAAATCCATAATAATGTGAAATACTTTGAGATTAACAGTTGTTTTTCAGATTAAAGTAGATTCATTAGTCTACCGTTTTATCTCATCTTTTCTATATCCTAGCCCCCTTTTTCCTTTAGAAAGAGATTTTTGATTTTAACTCCTTTGTTTAGCTTTTTTCCTGACTATGACCCATAACAATTTGTAACCAAATCCCCTAAACAATGACAAATATCCATAATTCATTTTAGAGAGATATTGGTATTGTTCTCCAAACTACTTTCTGTTCTTTTGGGGGCACTGTTACCTCTGAGGGATGCTGAGAAAATTTAGGGTTATGATCAAGTCCTGATTGGAGTATTTTGTGTCACCTTGAAGCTGTTGTGGACGTAGAATTCAGGAGCTGTGTCAGAGGCTCTCTGGGCCATCCGTTCCCATTGGAGATTTTTCAGGGAGTCTTTCTTGGTCAAACCTGATTTTTTTTCTTTTAAACCTGGAACGAATCCATAACCTTTCTTTTTCTGTGCAAACAAAAGTATAACCTCTCCCCAAAAGCAACATACCTTTTGACTTAAATTTTGAAGTCAAGATAATTTTAAAGTATATAGATTGGTTTTCTATAGTAGTTTTCATAATCAAATCTCTCTTAGCAGTTATTTGCTCATTAACAGCCAAAAAAGCCAATGACAACACAGTAGCATACAGGATCCAGACTTTGTGTATTTCCCATCTTTACATGGCTTATTATACTTTTTATTACTCTATTTCTATTTAAGGACTTTATTTTAAAACTTTTTTGTTTGTTTTTGTTTTTCAAGACAGGGTTTCTCTGTAGCTTTGGAGCCTGTCCTTGAACTCGTTCTTGTTGACCAAGCTGGCCTCGAACTCACAGAGATCCGCCTGCCTCTTCCTCCTGAGTGCTAGGATTAAATGCGTGCACCACCACCACCCAAAACAATATATTTTTAATCTAAGACTGTATATATTCTTTTTCGTTTCCCTTTCAAGCCTCTGCACATTTATAAACACATTATAAACTGGTTAGAGGCTCTTTTCGTCTGAGTCTGCCCTTATTGTGTATCTGTAACTCTGTAACCTTTTCTGTCTGAGTGAGCCAGGCAGTGCACTGCTGGGAGAGGCCTGTCTGTACCACAGCCTGTGTGAGCCTGTGGGAATCGGCCATGTGGCTTAGCTCAGGGTGTGCTGTCAGTTGCCAGGAGCTTTGTCTCTGTACCACTGCAGGCATGAGAGATACAAGGCTAAGACGTCGCTCTTGGCTCTGTTTCTGTGTGTTTAGGATTATGTTTGGAGCTTTGTTAGGTCTTATGTGGAAATTCCAGCCCCACCTTGAAGTGCCATATGTAGGCAGTTTCCCATCCTAGCAGCCATTTCCAAATTACCACACAGAGACTTAGTATAGCTCTAAGCTTAATCAGTGTATTGTCACGTGGCTTGTGGCTTTACCTGTCCTCTAGTATCTCTTGTTCCCTCGGCAGCTGGCTGGAGTCTCTCTCTAACTCCACCTTCTTTCTCCCTGTATTCTCAGTTTGTTCCTGCCACCTGTTCGTTTTTCCTGGCCTTGATCAATCAGCTTTCCTAAGCCAATGAGAGCTTTACACAGTCATAGTGTTCCACAGCTCATGGGGTTTTTCATAGTTGAGTCATTCCTCTCTTTTCTCCTGGCCTGTGTCTACTCACGGCTTCTTTTTAAATTTTTAATTTTTATTGGGAATCCCTTTTTTTTTTAAGATTTATTTTATGTGTATGGGCGGGTTTTTACCTTCAGTTATATGCATGCAGTGCTCTTAGAGGCCAGAAGAGGGCAGCAGATCCCCTGGCTGTAACGGGTCCAGTGCTCCTGCTTGTGTTGGGAGACCAGCCTGGGTCCTCTGGAAAAGTAGTGAGTGTTATTTACTGCTGAGCCATCTCTGCAGCCATCTTACCCATTCTATTTCCTCGTGTCAGAACAGCTGACCGTGCTGTGGTTCCTCCCTTCCATCTTCCTTCATTCGTACAGAACCCCGTGGTCTACCGGCATGTGTGGTCACCCTGTGGGTTCTTCAGCCTCGTCTATCAGTGCACCACTTACTGCCCTGAGCTGAAGCCACTTGTTCTGTTGACCTGTGTGACCCTTCCTATAGCTGCTCCCTTGTCACTCGGCTTTATTGCGGTGCTGCTGGTATAATGTGCTCCTGGGTCTCCGGGACTGTGTTCCCATGACCGAGATCAGGATCATCCTCAATGCACACTGAGTCCATGGCTTGCCTGGGCTACACAGGCCCTGTCTAAAACAAATAAAGACTCCACTAATTTGGGGACCCAGTGGATACATAATCTCTTAGATGTTAAGGAAATCACATTTCCTCCTGACCAGTCTAGAATAAATGCTGGGCGTTCCCCCCCCCCCCCATTTGCTTTATAAAGCTGTTCTCATCATGCTTTTCATGACTCTTCGCTGTGTTGGAGTCATCCTGCAGTGTCTGTGCTTGTGCTGTGTTGTCTGGGAACTCCTTGTCTCTTCTCCCTTCTGTTTGAGATGGGGCTTCCTGTATTCCTGTGCAGCTCAGGGTAGCTGTATTCCTCATCTCCTTGTCTCCGTGCTGGGATTCCAGGATTATAGACGTGTGCCGCAGCTCCTGGCTCACAGGCGTTAGGGTAGTTGTCTCTGATCTGATCTCCCTAAGGTGTTTTGAGCTGCATGTGGTTAGCTACATAGTTTGGCTATTACTAAAATGTAACTTATGTGACTGGAGGTGTACCAGAGGTAGACCACATGTTGGCCCATATGAAGTCCTGAGAGCAGTCTCCAGCCCTGAGAAAGGGGAAGAATAAAAGTGTTAACCAGTTTGAAAAATACTCCAAAATCAAATTTGTAATGTGTTTTTTTTTTCTTCTTAAAAGATGCCAGCAGAGGGAACACTAACCAAAAAGTTGGCTGCAATAAAGTAAGTTTATAATTAGATTATTTTCTTTTTTTTTAGACTATCCTAGTGTTCTGTGAGGTCTACCTGATTTATTTAAGTATACCTGCTCATGGCTAGTTAGATTGTTTGTTTGTTTTCATCTTGTGGTCATAAATAAGTGGAATGAAGGAATGGTTTGGTTTGGTTTTTTGAGGCAAAGTCTCATTATGTAGCCCTGACTGTCTGACTGACTTTGAGCTTATGGAGATCTGCCTATCTGTGCCTCCCAAGTGCTGAAATTAAAGGTATGCACTACCTGGCCCAGGCAGGCCTTACATTTTTAAGACAGTGTCTTGCTATGGAACTCAGTAGGCATGGAACTCCTGATTCTTCTGTCTTTGTTTATGGGTGCTGAGCATATAGGGGAGCACCACCACATCTGGCCACTTTTAGGACTGTGATGTTTGAGCCTGGCGAAAGCGTTGCCACAGTCTGCATCCTGAATGCCTCCTTAGCCCAGTGTGTGCCTGTACAGTGCGTCTACCTCTGCTTGTAGGCAGCTGCTCACTCGCCTACCTTCTGAGCTATGTGTGCAGTATGTTTGTGAGCAGACCCCACTCTTCATCATGCTCGGCCTCCTTGATTACAGTCAGTGTGCTTTAGCTTCCTAAAAGATAGCCCCTCACTGCCCATCATGAACACCAGATGTCCATGTCTTCCGCAGCCGCAGGACACTAGTGTCAGCCTTTCTAAAGACTCCTTGCTATGCTTGTGTGTTTTTTCTCATAGTTTAAGATGGCAAACATCTTTTTATGTGCTTACTGGGTGTTTACTGTTTGGTCAAGTATTGTAAAAACATCACGTGTTTACTGCTGTCTTTTTCCTCTTGTTTCTGAGGGAGAGACAGGTGGACGGCGTGGGGAGAGTTACATATACTGCATGCAAAAGCGTTGGTGTCTGTCTTTTAAAGGATCAAAAGGATAAGAAATTTCACATCTTATTGAGGATCCAGAGTGGGGTGCTACCATTTGTTCGTGAGCTGTAGTGTAGTGGGAATGAGGGCACCAAGCTGTGGTCAGCCCCTCCTCGCTGTGGTCCCCAGGCTCCCCCGCTGTAGAGTTTATTTGTAATGTATGTATATGGGCATGCATTGTTACTGTGTGCTTGTGGGAGCTGGTCTCTACCACTGATGACTAAGTTACAAAACAATCTCACACAGTTCAGAATTATGAATAATAAAAGGGTTATTTATTTAAGGGGAAAACTTACAGATCACTGTCCCAGCAACAGCCCTCTGCATTTACTGCTGCTTTTACAGTATAAGAGACCACGCCCAAGTGGGCTGATATCTTAAAGGCTATTGGCTGAAGGAGCAGAGTGTTCTCCTACAGCATACCACCAAGTGGGTACTAGAGGATCAAACTCAAGCTGTCAGTCTTGGTGACCGGCATCTTTACCCACTGAGTCATCTTTTAGGCTAGACTCACCCTTTTGCCTTTGGTGGGTCTTAATGTCCCATACCGTGTCCCTGACAGGAGGTTCCCTTTCCTCTTCTAGCCCTGGAGTCTTGGCTCTGTCCCAAGTGGCAGGCTCACTGTCCCCCCCTGCAGCATCTTCACCTTTTCCCTCATCTGGAGGAGGATCCAGGTGGACTTGGCTACTCTTCTCTAGCCTATTGTCAGCGTAGATGTTCTCTGGGACTCATGCCCATGCTCCATTTTCTGTGGCTGCCAACTCAGATCTGAGTACACCCATAGCATCAGAGAGACTGAACCTTGCTGGTATTGTCTCTCTTTGGAGGGAGGATCCTGGCCTTAGTGTCCAGGCTGCTTTCCTCCAAGACTCTTTTGCTCTCTGGGTTCCACCAGTTTTGATGCTGTGGATTAGCTGCTAAAGACAGGAGAGATGCTCTTTCTGGCTTCTGTGCAGTAGTGGGGACAACATTACCTGACACAGCGGTTCATAGTTCCCTTTAGTCTGATGTAAAAGTCCACTGAAGTAGACCCACCTGCTTGCCGCTGGTATTCATGGGACAGATATTTCTGTTCTGTGTTGCTGGGGTCAGCGTTGGGTTTGTTGGCAGGTGTGTCCTGTGGGGAGAGTTAGGTGCTGGAGAGCACTGACTGAGCTAGTTTGTCAGCCCTGTGACCACCATCAACACTTCTCAGACCTCAGTTTCTTCATCATGAAGTCAGAAAATAACACCCACTCCAGGTGAAAGGTCTAGGTCAGTGCTGGCAGTGTTTCGTGTCTAGTAAATCATAGCTGTTTTCCTCAATAGTAAGGTATCAGATTGTGCATAGGAAGTCACAGAAACCATGACAGTGCCGAGATGGAGAATGGACATGTGCCCCGTCTAACCCACATGCTGTCTATAGTCAGCTGGTCACAAAGGAAAAATTGTTTTTTTCCAATGGTGTCTCACTGGATGTACCACATTTAAGTGAGAGCCTGTGGCCAACACAAAACAAACTCAGTGGTATTTTTAAGATTTTTTTTTGTCTCTATTTTGTTGGGGCATTTTTTACCTTACTGGTCTTTTGCTTATATATTATAGTCTACACATGTCTCTCGTGCCTTCTTTTTTTTTTTTTCTGTTTTGCTTTACTTCTTTATTTATTTTTGCCTGTTTGTTTTCCAGAGAGAAAGAGAGAGAGAGAAAGGGCATGGAGTCGGATGGGTGGGGAGGATGTATAAGTCCTGGCTGTCTTGTCACTTGCTCTGTAGACCAAGCAGGCTTCGACCCACAGAGATCCTCTTGCCTCTGCTTCTTGAGTGCTGGGATTAAAGGTGTGTGCTACCATACCCAGCTTGAAAAATAATTTTTTTTCAACAACAAGAAAGAAAAGACTTAAGGTGGTCTAGTGTGCTGCAGCAGGCCATGTTCCCTGTTCATGTCTGGCCCTGCTCAGTGGGTGTCTTCCTAACAGTTCTAATTTGTGTGTTTGCCTTTGATGACCTCAGCAGCAGGCTGGCATCTTTAGGCAAGGACCAGTGATCATTACTAAGTCTAATTTTACTGTTTTGTCTAAGATTTATTTATTTTTATTTTTTATATATTTGATTGTTTTGCTTGCATGTGTATATGTGCACTGTGTGTGTGTGTGTTTGTTGTCAGAGGAGACCAGCAAGTTTGTCAGATCCCTGGAACTGGAGGTAGAGATGGTCGTGAGCCGCCTTGTGGGTGCTCGGAACTGACCCAGGCCCCCTTCAAGAGCAACAAGTGTTCTTAGCCACTGAGCCATCTCCTCAGCCCTCGTCTGTCTTACCGTTATCATTAGTAGCTTTGCAAGTGTAGGTCTTGGGCAACAACATCAGCCATAATCACTAAAGGTGAAAACCAGCCTGGGGAAGTGGCTTGGTTAAGTGGTTGCCTAACAAGCGTGAGGACTTAAGCTTGATCCCTAGATCCTTTGTAAAAAAGCCGGGCATAGTGGTTGGCATACTTGTGATCCCTGTGCTGGAGCGGTGAGACAGTGACCATGCAGTCTAGCCTGTGTGGTGAGACCTAGGCATGAGAAACCCTGTCTCAAAATGTAGGTAGTGCCTGCAAGATGGCTCAGCAAGGAAAAGTGCCTGCTTCCAAGGTCAGTGACCTCGGTTCAGTCCCTGGAACCCACATAGTGGAAGGGAAGGATTGACTCCTGTGAGTTGTCCCTGCCTTCACATGAGTGTATGTGCTCCCCAGCCTATAACTAAATACACAAATGTTATAAAAATACTCAGAGAAACAGTGGGCAGCACTGGAGGGATGACAGATGAGGCTGACTCTGGCCTCCACACATACATGCACATATGTGTGAGCACACACAGGAAAGTGGAGAGCAGCTATTACCTGCCTTGCTTAGAAAGAATATCCTTGACACTTGCTGTGGTCCTGACAGAGGGGCTGTGTCTGGGCCAGACTAACCTTTAGACGCAGTAGCAAGTTTACCAGGTACAGAAGACAGAGGCGCACGTCAGACTGCTTTCTCACAGCAGCAAACTCAGGCTGTTGGAAATAATGCAGGTCCAACAGATTTGTCTGAATGGACAAGTGAAGTGTAATGGATAGGAGTAGATAGGGCTGTAAAAGGGAAGCAGTCCGTGTGGAAGTGGGGAAGGTGGTGCCCATCAGCTGGGTGGGTGGTGGCTGCTAGGGCTTTCGCTCCTGCGCTGAGCTGTTTGTCAATGTGCTCTTCTAGGTGTGTTTCCTACAGTGAAAAGGAGCAGTTTTTGTAGGTTCGGAGTTGGAGCCAGGATGACATTGCTAATCCTTCCATTGTTCTAGTTGACACATGTGGGAGTTCTGTTCTCACCATTCCTTCACAGTGATGACTCCCGAGATAGTGTGGGCTGATTGCTCCTTTGCTATCTTTATGTATCTCTGTTCTTTTTCAAATTACTGGATCTTTTCTTAAAAATGTAGAACTTCCCGTCTGCAAATTTTATCATGTATTGATTATAGAAAACAAAACTAGATTTTTCTCCTGAGTTTGAGGTTAGCAAGTTTTACATGATCTGTTTTTCCTTCTGTTCTCTCTGCAGACGTAAATTTCACCCTGACCAGAAAAGCATCAACGCGTATGTAGTGTTCAAGGAAGAGAGCGCTGCTGCAAAGGCGCTGCAGAGGTAACCCTCCCGGGGACGGGGCGGCGCTGGCCTCTTCCCGGAGAGGGCTTTACGTGGGTTTCATTACAGCAGACGCCCCATTACTAAGCACTGATTTTCAACAGCCATCCCTGCTTGTCTTTATATTAGAAACGGGGCCGAGATTGCAGAAGGATTTCGTATTCGAGTTGATCTCGCATCTGAAACCACCTCTGTAAGTAGAATCTGATTTGTCTAAGGATCTTAACAAGACAGCTAGAGATGGTAGCTCATGCCTGTCATCCCTGTATCAGGGTGACAGGAATTATAGGCTCACCTGGCTTGATAATGTGAGACTGTGTCCCAAAGAAATGGAAAAGAAAACAAGACAACAACAAAAAGATCTTCACATGAGCTTTGTGAGAAGGTGGACCAATGGAGGGAGCAGGGGAAATGGGAGAAAGGAACCTTTGTTCTTTAGGGACACAGTATTGGTGTCCAGGGGGTCACAGGACTCTGGTGAACCAGACAGGCCGCTTCCCATTTGAAGACACTCTCCCACGACCAGCTCTTTAGAGAAAGGAAGCGGTCACCAGAGACTAAAGTCAGGAAAGTTGTTACTCACTTAGGCTGCTTGCTCGTGCCTGTGTCAGAGCTGGGGAGGCAGAGGCAAGAGCAGCACACGTTTTGGGCCACGCTGGGCTGTACAGTGAGACCCCGCCTCAGAAACCAAAAGCAGAGTTGTTATTTGTTAGCGGTAAGGAGCAGTCTGAAGACTCTGTGTGCTTGATAAGTGCTGGAGACACAGAGGCCAGGCTGTGGCTCTGTTTTATGGTAAGTGCTGTCATCAGCACAGGGTGCTTTGTCCACTCAGTGGTGCCCCTGGGACAGGGCGACAGGAAAGGACAAGAATGGTTTGCAGGAGACAGATTCCATGAGTCCTGAAAGATTTACCTGGGCAGGAAAGTATTCTCAAAGCACAGAGGCGATATCTGTGAGGTGTTGTGGGAGGCCACTTGTGTGTTCCCAGCTGCCCGGAACCGAATTAATCACACAAAACTATATTTAAATCACTGCTTGACCAATCACTTAAGCATATTGCTAGCTAGCTCTTATATCTTTGGTTAACACATTTTTATTATTTTATATTTTACCACGAGGCCCATGGCCCACCAGCAAGGTTCCAACTGGCAGCTCACCTCTTTCCCCTCTGGCAGCTCCATGGCTTCTTTCTCCCAGCATTCAGTTTAGTTTTCCTCCCCTAGCTCTGTCCTGCCCTGCTACAGGCTCAAAGCAGTTTGTTTATTCATTAACCAATAAAAGCAGCACATGTACAGAAGGATTCCCCACATCAGGGGTGTGTATGACAAAAGCTTTGTGTGGTCAGTATGGTAGCTCAGAGTGCTGCAGGGTAGATGGGTTGGCAGGCAGACTATGAAACCCTGCTTTGCCTCACTTCATGCAGCGTCAGGAGCATTCAACATCTCAGTGCTGGTGCAATGTGACATGTGCATGAAGGTGCACATGACAGCTGCATCTTCAGACAAAGAGAACTGTAGAGTTAGCCTGCAGCAGTGTGCTTCTCCTAGACGAGAGAGAGCAACAGTCAGAGTCAAACTTCTAGCTGGATGGACCACAGAAGGTCAGCAAGCTGTGGTGCTTGGGCCATATCTGTTAATAAATTTAACTGCACACAACCAGAGTTTGTTTTTGTATCTTAAGCTATTATAGCCGGATGAGAAGTTGCGGTGGAGATCATGTGGCCTTTAAACTCTACGTCTGAGTGGTTCTCCACCTTCCTAATGCTGCGGCTTTTAATGCAGTTCCTCATGCTGTGGTGACCCTCGACCGTAGTTTATCTTCATTGCTACTTCATAACTGCAATTTTGCTACTGTTATGAATCGTAAATATCTGTTTAGTCATCCCTGTGAAGGGTCATGTGACTAAGGGGTCACAACCCACAGGTTGAGAACCACTGCTTAGAGCCTAACGTGGTTGCTGATTGGCCTCTCTCAGGCCTTCCCTCAGCACTGCCTGTGATCAGGTCTCTCCTCTGGTGCTCGCGCACTGTGCAGCGGGAGCGTAGGAACAGACGTGGGCAGGGTATGATCAAGTCAGGGAATGGAGACCCTCAGCTCGTGGAGGGGATGCGGCGGTGGGCGGGGGTGGGGTAGCTCCTGTTGTCTAGTGTACTGACTGTTTCTGTTCATCGCTGTTTCAGCGGGACAAGAGATCGGTGTTTGTGGGCAATCTTCCTTACAGTAAGTTTGCTTTAACAAAAGTATACTTGTTATTACATGCTAGGGAAAGGATCAGGATGTAGTTCTGTGGCCAGGGGCTTACCTTCATGCCTGAGAGCAGTAACAAGCACAGTAGACAAGAACAAAAGGAAATTGAGTAATTCTGGATGTGGTGGCGCAGTGAGTGTCTTTAATCCCATCTCGTTGAGGCCAAGGCAGGAAGACAGGAAAACGAAGGCCACCTTAGCTGCCTCTGAGGAAAATTTAGAAAGAACTGAAGGTGTTGCTCAGTGGCAGATTACCTCACTAGTACCTCACTAATACCTCACTAGTACCTCACTAGTTCCTCACTAGTATACCTCACTAGTACCTCACTAGTTCATCACTAGTTCTGTTCCCTTACACCAGAACCCGTAGAAACAAAGCTCGAGTAATGTAAGAATTGTTTAGGACAGCTTTTAGAGGCGTGCTGTGTAGTGCTGTGTTCTCATGGGGCTTTGCTAAGGTTTATCTAAGGACAGTCCATACGTTCACCTCATTTGTGCTTGGATTTATTTGTAGAAGTTGAAGATGCTGCTTTGGAGAAACACTTCCTGGACTGTGGGAGCATTGTGGCAGTGCGGATCTTGAGAAACCCACTCACAGGCGTCGGCAGAGGGTTTGGCTATGTGCTCTTTGAGGTACGGGGACCAGAGCGCTGCTGCTCCTGGGGATGAATGCCTGTGCCCGGGGAGGTCGTCAGCGCTGTGATTCGAATTCCCAGCAACCACAACAGAGTGCCATGGCTGCAGCTGCCCAGGCATCCTTGTTTGTCATGCTAGCAGTGCTGAGGAATACTCGAGATGCTGGTGTTAGAGGAGCCTCACCTTCTGTGAGACGGAGCAGCACAGGTTCCTGCATTGAGTTCAGTGACTCCTAGTCAGTGTCTCCTGACATTCCTAAGCAGTCGGGGATACCTCTGCTGGACAGCACGTAGATTTATTGTTACTATTTTTAATGTGTATGTGAGTATAGGTACCCATGCCAGACATAGGGGGTGTCCCATGAGCTGGAGTTACTGGTGGTCATGAGCCATTTGGCTTGGGTGCCAGGAACTGAACTCCAGTTCTCCTTAAGAGCAGTCTGTACTCTTTAACTACTGAGTGAGACATCAGTCCAGTGCCCAGGCTCTCCAACCCTTGACAGGATCCCTGGGAGATGTTAGAAGTCTTGTGTGTGAGGTCTGTGCTGCTCTACCGCACTGATCCTGTTCCTGTCTAGATGGAACTCGCCTCTTTGAGAAGCTTGTAGAGTTCTTTCAACGTCTCAGTATTCAAAGTAGTATTAGTCATTCTGTGCTGGAGTAGAATGTTCAGGGCCTCTAGTCCCACATCGTAGGAACTATAGGAGAGTTTCCTGTCTTCCACTTACAACAGAAATTTTACAGAAAGTTGGGCTCTGAGCTGTTTTCTTTTTTAAAGAAACCTATGGTGACAAAAGTGAGCCCTTGGTTGTGACCGTTAGCGTTTGGGGAGGTGACCTGAGTGTGACCTGAGCAGCGGGGGCTCACGCAGGGCTATGGAAACCACAGAGCAGAAGCCTTCTGCTGCAAGCTTCTTATACCATTGAACTCAGACTTTACTGATCTCGTTACATATGGGTTTATTATTATTATTATTATTCTTACAGAATACAGATGCTGTTCATCTTGCTTTGAAGTTAAATAATTCTGAGCTAATGGGAAGAAAACTGAGAGTCATGCGTTCTGTTAATAAAGAAAAACTAAAGCAACCGAGTTCAAACCCAAGCTTGAAGAATTCCAGTAAACCTAAGCAAAAAGTTACTTTTTCTTCCAAAAATGCATTTATTGGAGAAAAGGCAGTTCTCACGAAAAAGAAGAAAGGACAAAAGAAAAAAGTAAAAGCAAAGAAACCAAAAAATCAGCAGTAATGGCAGAAGCGGCCGCCTTTGTTTCCATGTGAACACTTGGAATGAGTGTCTGGGTTTTTACAAATTGTGTGGAAAATGTGGAGACTCACACAATGGTGTTTTGTATTCATATTATATGTAAGACTTTTTTAAAAAGCGTTATACTTAGATATGAGTTTACAGAAAATAATAAACATTAATGCTGGTTCCTGTGAGGACGATTCCAGATGTGGCCGTGAAAGCCCAAGGCAGACTGAGCTGTCGGTAACAGACGCCCATCTCTTCCTATCGTATTCCAGCCATCTAAGAATTGCCAACCAACACGAACACCAGAACCATGGTCAGCAGCTAACGTGGTTGGTTATCAACGTCCTTGACAGGCTGGCTATAAAGCTGGTTTTGCAGGGAAATGTGATCCTTAAATTGCTGTCACTCAGAATGAAATAGCTGTCCCAGAAAGTTTAAAGACAATATTTCCTAAAGAATTGTGGTAACGGAATCACAGATTTTAAAGATGGACGACAGGACAGCATAGGCTGCATCCCTAGGGGCTCGGCCTGCTCACAGCTGATGATACAGATGTCACCAAACCGAGGCTGGGTCCAGGGTGGAGAACTGTGGGGAGGTGTAAGCCAAGGTGGCTGATGCTTAGGCAGGCAGCATAAGGAAAGCGCACACTCTGTCACTTAGGTGGACAAGAGGGCAGGGTGAGTTTTCACTCATTTAGTTTTCAAAATTCTGTCTTTGGACAATGCCATGTAGAAAATCTAATGGGTGTTAGAATATAGCTCTACTTCTATGGTTAAGCTTCTTGGTTAAGAGCATGCACTGCTCACTCTGCCAGAGAACCTGAGTTCAGTTCCTACCACCCACATCAAGTAGTTCACAATTGCATATAACTTAAACTCCTGGGTCCAACTCCTGGCCTCCGCAGGCACCGACATACACATACAATTAGAAGTGTAGTTCTTAGCAGAGAAAGCTCCATTTCCTGTAGCCAAGTCTGGATAGTTTATGCTTTGCTTCCCTTACAGTATTTAGAACCCTTTCAGTTAAATCTCAGCAATGTTACTTGATCATTTTGCCTAAATTATATAAAGATATATTAGACTGTGTGTTCATATATGATCTGTGTGCATCCATGCATACTTTGACTCCTGTGAGTGAACAGCTTAAAGCATAGTAGATATTGTATATACATATATTGTAGAGGACCGGCCTCGACAAAAATACCTCTTGCCAGGGTATGGGTGTGGGAATTGAAGAAATGTAATAACATGAAGATGTATAAAAACAATAAGACAGAAAACATAGAAAGTGTTGGGAGGGCATCCAGTGGCTGAAGTCCTCTGAGTTTATTTTTTCACTGCTTTTATACCCAACACTAATGGGGGAGGGGGGAGAGGTGGGAGAAGGGAACAAAAGACTTTATTAACATGATACAAAGGATAACTCACACAACCAATTGCTTTATCACTCTGAAACATCAAATCATTAGCACTCTGTTGTCTAGGTAGCAAAGGCGCTCTAGATCACACCTGCTGACAACTACCTATCCCCAGATGACCTCATAGTTGCAAAGAAGGAGAAGTACACTTGCACATCCTGACCACCTGTCAGGATGGCAGGGAACTATCTTAATTTCAAGAGAACCAAGCAGTCACATCCCAAGTTGAGACAGACAAGTATGGCTTGTCAATCTCCAAACACTCTGATCGTCAGACAAGGTGGAAATGGGCCTGCAATTTTCAGCCTCCACCGCGCGCACACGCACACACACGAAGTTAACTTTATTACTGTGTGTGTGCATCACAGGCCCAGATGTTTCGGAATTTGTTACTGTGTACTTGCTGAAATCTCTCCTTTCACAGAGTATGTGTGTGGTACTTACTGTTTAAAACATGAAAAAAGGATTTTGTAGAACATTTTCCTTAGACGCTCTGTAACTTTTCTTTCAACCTGGACAAATACTTACCTTGTTATATCTGATTGAATACTTACAGTCACAAGGCTATGAGTGGCCAACATTTTTAGTTATAATAAAAATACTGGATACATGTTTTTTAATCATGAGAATTAGTCACTTTTTTCTCATGAACAGTTTTTCCCGAACTTGTCCTTGAATGTTTTCTGCTGTGCTTATCCGTTAAGGAGTTCTCACGATGAGAGGCTTAGGGAAGCTCTGATCGCCTACCCTTTGCCTTGTCACTGCAGACAATTCTAAGTGACTGCAGCAGAACTTGTTCCTGTCTCCAGAGTTCACATAAAACCCCTTGAGTATGACCCACGTCTCCCAATTCCCTGTGAATACCTCCCTCCGTAGGTGAAGAGACTAGACGTGGAGTCTGATGGGATTACCTTCAGTTTGCAGTATTAACTGATAATTATGGACACATTTAACCAAAATGGACTTTTCTTATTGCTGCATGTGCTGCAGACATTTAATTAAAAATACCAGTGATGTGGCAGAGCACTAACCTAGTGTGCCTGCCACTCCTCCTTAATCCACAGCACCACAAGCTAAACTGCTGGTTTCCATTCAAGTCATCTGGAACCCATTGATGGTTCCACTCACAAACACTTGTGTATACCTTTTTTCCCAGGCTGCTTCCATTGCAGGAGTTTGGTTGTACATGGTTTTGTGTTACCGTGTTGCTATCTTAACAATCACAGTGTATTTATTATACCCAAGAAGAAAGTATCTTGTTCTGGCTTATTTCTAAATCACGGCTACCAGGACAACCTACTGTCCAGTGTTCAAGGCCTCACATGCTAACTTTGTGGATTTGAGTAGCTATTTTCTGTTCTGTGTAGCCAAGGCTCAGGAAGTTGAGGCTCACAGGTAGTTTTGGGGATGAGGAAGATCACAATGTGTGTAGGGTATAAGAAAGCCGCTCTGTTGCACGCATCTTGTCCGGGTCCTTGGTTCTGCTCTATCTGCACTTCTCTATCCTCACCCCTCACCTTTCCCCAGGCCCACTTCAGGTAGTGTACTCACACCTTCAGGGCTAATTCCTGTTCTGATGGAGGGCGTCCCCAGGCTGTGTTAGGTCCTCCAGTGACGTCTTCCGGTATTGTCTACCAACTACTCAGACCAAGTTTCATAAGTGAAGGGTGCAATATTCAACCAGACTGCCTTTCCTTCAAATGCCAGCCAGTGTGTGGCGGGTGGGCCTCACCATTGCTAATGAACTGGCTGGCATGCTTTTGCTCAGGTGGAAATTCAGTAGGGGAGGAAAAGCTTCCGTGGAGTTGGCAGTTCTAAAGTGTTGACAACTTCTTAGCTGGGGCTTACTGATCCAGAGGTTTCTAGTTCCAAGTCCCCCGAGAACTGGAGATCTAGGGTTTCAGGCCTTGCAAACCAGATAGCTCTGACTTCTGATTGCCAGCAGCCCAGCACTTATCAGCTAGTGAAATCCTTGGCCCTAAGAACAGGCAATGGCGGCAACACCTTTATTTCCCCTAAGGGCCTCAGACCTTGGGACCCTCATCCCCATCCAGTGTTACAGCCCTGGGGTCTCGGGTGTCAGGATCCTCCTCTAAGGTGTGGGTGTTTCCTGGAACTCTGGCAGTGACCAGAGGCAGCAGTTTCCCACCTTCGTCTCTCCACAATGTTCTACTTTACTTTCGGCTTCTGCTCTCTGTCAGCCTATTCCTCGCTTGCTGCTACTGCCACAGAAGGGTGGTGGTGTGGGCATGGGCACCGCTGCCCGTCACTCTCTACTGCCACCCCTCTAGTTGCTAGCTGAAAAGAAAATCAGTTGGGAGCAAGTAGCCTTTCTTTTGGGTCTAATGTTGCCATGCTAGGCACCAGTACAAGGCAGCATCTCTTGGCTGACTCAGAAATGGAGCTGTCGGGTGTCTGGTGCGGACCTGGAACCGCAGCTGCCAAGCAAGTGGAGACTGCTGGGGCTTGCTGGCTGATTAGAGAAAACGCCAGCCCCAGCTTCATGGGGTGGTTGCAGGTTAGCTGACCCCCTGGTTTCTCTGCACATACATTTAAAAAACACAACCTGGTTGTGGGGGAGGAAAAGGGGTGAAGTGAGTGCTTGCACTAATCATAACTCTTCATGCAAAAGAAGCCTTGTGTTTTGCACTAACTCTGGAACACGAACGGATGCTTCTCACCCTAGCCTTGGTGGAAAGTCATCCAGAGTCCACTCCTGGCTCTTGGATAGTAAAAAGTTCGGTACAATCGCTCTAAAGTAGCCTCCCGGTGCTGAATCGGTCTTCAGCAACAGGCAGCTACACCGTGTCCTACGGGTAGCAGGGCTGTGTTTAAAGAATGCGGGCGGCTTCACTTCATTGACAGAAAGTCCCAGAACGGTGTCTACAACAAAGATTCATGGAAAAGTCTGCGCGCAAACACCCATTCAAATAGCATTTAACACTGCTCTACAGTGTTCATAGTGCTCAGCTCAGATCCAGCTCCCCGGAACGGCGTGGGTCCCTGCAGTAGATAGGTGGAGTTTGGGGCATTCCCCATTATTAGTTAATTTCACTTAAAATGTCAAAGAATTGCTACACTTGGATTACTGACAATGACAGCGCAAGAGAACAAACAGTAATCACCCCTAGACTGTTTTTTTTTTTTTGCCTTTCTACTTCCCTCATAGGTTAACTTCTTTTTTGAAGAATTACTCCATTTTTCTTCCCCACGACCTAAGATGGGGCTACATCCTAAAATTATTTTGAAATCAATTACTGTGTCCAAGTTCGGCCACAGCTCAAAAAACAAATCCAGCCAGGCCAAGTAGTGCGGGCCGAGGTGGGAGGATTGCAGGTTTCAGGCCAGGGCAGACAGTCAACACAGCAAGTCCCAGGCCTGGCTAAGTCACAAAGGGAGAGACCGGCTCAAAAAATGGAAAAAGGGAAGGCACGCTCTTCAAGTCGCGGGCTTCCTGATGTGCACCATGGGGCGGGGTGCTGTGCTAGCAGGCTCGCACCTCCGTCCTTCACCGCCGACGAAGGCGGACAAAGACTCCTGACTCAGCGAGTCACCACCACGTGCCGCCGCCAGGCAACTGGCCGTGCGGAGTGGAGAGGGGGGGGTTAGGAGACGCGCGTGATGACGCACGAACCCTCCCGCAGTGCGCGCCCCTCCCCC